CCCCCTTTCCTCCCTGCTCCGGGTCTCTCTGCCTTCCTTGTTGTGTTTTGGGTGTTTCTTTTTCCTTTTTTTTTTTTTCTCCCCCCAGTATCCCAACAAAGCTCCGGAAATCTCGATCAGGAACCCGCGGGGGCTGTCAGATGAACAAATTCAAAAGTAAGTGCTAGGAGGGAGGGGACAGGGCGATCCTTTCCTCTAGAGATCTGGGAAGCAGAACTGGTGGAAAAGCCTTCTCTCAAATTCACATGGCTCCCTGTGTCTGGTTAACAGATGGATGCAGGTCCCTAAAAGACCTGGTCTTAAATTTCATGGGAGCCACTGGTGCTAATTTTGATACCAAGGGGTCCACCTTATGGTTGTTCCCTGTGATCCCCCTGAATTGTATCTAAATCCCCTGGGCCTTTGAAGCTGTTGGTCGTGCTTTGACAGAGGTGGGACTGAACTGAGTCCTCAGGCAGCCCATTGTTGCCTTTGTGTTCCTGTCCTTGGTGCAGTGGAGTGTGTGCAGAGAGACCTGCTGGCAGCGCAGGAGTGATGTGGCTCCCACTAGACCTGCTCAGGGGCTGCCATCAGATAAATGAAGCCTGGGATTCACCAAGACTGAAGGGTGGTGGGTGAGCTCAAGCCAAGGAGCCAAGCAAACCTGCTCTTGCAAGTCCTTGGAGGACAAAGGCTTCTTGTGCATTGGCTTGTGGGGAGCACATGAATATGTGTGTGTGCCTGTCCCGTGCTGCAGGCAAAGCCTGAAGGCCGGTGCTCTATTTCTTCCTCCTGTCATCATGGTGGTGTGGCAGGTATGTGGGACAGTGAAAAGGTGTGGCTAAACTTGTGTTCAGTATTGCTGCTGCTTTGCTGTAGGATTTCCCAGACCCTCAGAAGTGTTGCTGAAGCCAGGCTTGGGACAGAGGTGCTCTATGAACTGATTGAGGTGAGAGTTGGGGGAGATTGGGTCCTGGTCGCTGCTCCCTGACTGCCTGAGGGATGGGTTAGCTCTGCACCCATGGGCAGGCCAGTGAGTAAAATGTTTGCTTTAATGTTTCTGCAGAAGGGGAAGGAGATTCTCACTGACAACAACATTCCTCATGGCCAGTGTGTGATCTGCCTCTATGGATTCCAGGTAGGAATGTGTCCCCTGGCCCTACAAGCTGGCTGGGAAGTGAGGCAAGAGAACAGGGAGTCTGGGGTATATCAGCCTGGGACCGGGCTGTGCCTCAGCAGCCCCTTGCTCCCCAGTCTGTAGGCTGTCCTACTCAGCATGGACCTTCCTAAGGCAGTATATGCTACTCTTCCAGTCAGCCTGAAGAGAACCACCTGCAGAAACAGGGCATAGGGGCAAGTGAGTGATGCCGGAGCATCTCCAAGGGTAGGGTCTGGGGATAGTTGCTGGTGCATCTCAGCTTCCCAGTGTTGGCCAAACCTCACCACAGCACACAGGTGGTTAGGAGGAACTGGAACACACCCATGCAGGTGCTGAGGTTTGCAAGCAGGGGAGATTGCCTTGTCCGGGTTGCAAGGAGAGGCAGTACCTGCCTGGGAAGAACACATTGGGTGAGAAGGTTGCTGCTTACACAACTAAATCAGGCACAAAAAACTTTGCATTAGGAGTATTTCTCACTCTTGGAATAGGGAGCAGTGTCCCATAAAAGCTGAGGCAGTAGAGATGAAGCCCAGCAGAAGATATTGTGTGTCTCTGCCAGTGATGGTGCTAGTTCCCCACTGCCAGCACTGATGTGGGAGTGAAAGCCTGCCTCAGTTGGAGAGGCTACACAACCCTGTACTCAGAAACCCTTTAAAGCTGCTCTTTCTCCTCTACAGGAGAGAGAAGCCTTCACAAAGACCCAGTGCTACCACTACTTCCACTCCCACTGCCTGGCCCGCTATGCCCAGCACATGGAGGAAGAGATCCTCATGCAACAGGAGGAGAGAGAGCAGCACCTGGCACCATGCCCTAAACAGGTACTGGGCCCTGAGCTCCCCCCACTGTCCCCCTGCACTCACAACATCTCTGACACCCCCTTTGGGACACTGAGTAAGGGCTGGCCTGACCTGGCAACACAGTCAGTGTCGTGTCTGCGCTGAGAATCAGAGCAGTGATTAGATCAAGTGATCTCCAAGGGCCAACCAAAATTACCTTGTGAGTTTTTAATACTTTTAGCAGTTGGATTTATTGGATCTCTGAGTCAGCACCTGCTGTGTGAGGGGGCAGGGGAGTTGGAAGCACTTTTGGACTTCTGGAACCATAAGAGTTGGAAAAAGAGAGCTCCTTCCCTAGTCCTCAAACTGCAGGGGTCTGTGGCAGAATAAACATGATCTCCTGCATTCTGGGGTGATAAAACCTGCCTGAGCAGGTGTTGGAACAGTCAGCTGCAGAGCAAACAGTGCAGCTGAGTGTGAAACAACTCAGAGGCTCATTCCTGCAAAACCCTTTCAAAGAGGCACTGCCTAGATGACACGCTCCACTTTGGAGTGGGGAAAGATAGATCCTAGGCTAAGGAGGACTGGACCCACATGTGCTACGGAGGTGGTTTGTACAGCAGTCAGCCGCTGGAGCACAAATCCTGGCATGCCTTGTGGTGGAGACACCTTCCGTAGCAGCCGTTGAGGCATCAGGCTGCTTTCATGCTGCCGGAACCCCCCACTAGGCTTTCCTGCCCTGGCAGAAGAGTGAAGGCAGCCACCCTGTTCCAGTTCCAAGCTGGGGATTATCTGGCAGCGCGTGGGCTGGGCCATGGCCAGGGTTTGGTACCACCTCTTGCCTCCCCACAGGATGTCCGTGTGCAGTGCCCTGTCTGCCGTGAGACCCTGGTCTACGATCTCAGCGCTCTGAAGGCGGCGCCACCCCCACAGCACCCACTGGTAAGAGATGGGGGCTCACCTGCCCAGCTGCGCCAGCTTGCTGGGTCGCTTCAACTGGGACAACAGAACGGGTAAATGAACACATGCTGCACTCTCAGGTCCTCGGCAGCCCATCCAAAGGGCAGTTCATAAAACCTAGCCAGGTGTCTCCTGATTGTTTGATGTGTCCACAAAGAGCAGGCTTAGTTGTACAGCCCTGAGTTTTCTTCTCCTAGATCATGAAATGAGCTCTGTAGCCCATGTTCCTTCTGTGACCAAAGGAGGATTTGGGGAATAGCTCTTAGCACTGCCAGCTGCCTACCCATGCCAGGTGTCGAGAGAGAGCCCTTACCCTGCCCTGCTTTTTGCCTCTCAGGAGCCGTACAGGCCAGATGCCAAGACACTGCAGCACCAAGAACAACTGCGCTTAATTTTCAAGAGACAGCAAGAGAAGGGGGGAATCATTGACCCTGAAGCGGAGAGGAACCGTTACTTTATCAGCCTCCAGGCGGTATGGCACCGGGGGCAGAGAGCTGGCAAGGGAGCTGCAGTCCCTAGACTGCAGGACCGAGAGCTGTCCTCTGCTGTGGGGCTGCTCTGTCCCTTTCTTAACCAGTGGCTTCTTTCTTTCAGCCTCCAGCTGCTGGCAATCCAAGCCAAGCAGCCGCTGCCTCTGAGCCACCGGTGAGTGCAAGCGCTGTGGATGCACCCCAGCCTCCCAGCCAAGCCTTGACTCCAGAGCCAGCCAGGGCTCCAGAGGCCAGGGCCGAACCTGGGCAGCCCGAGCGGCCTGCTGCGCCCAGGGAGCAACAGAGCAAGAGGGAGAGGCACAGAGGGGAGAGGCCAGGCCCTAGGGGCCAGGGCAGGCAGTCGTGCAGCAGCTTGCAGGAAGCAGCAGAGGAAGCCTGTCACCTGCTCCATGGCTCCAGGGGGCCCAGGGGCTTCAGCCAGAGACCAGAGCGGAGACCTGGTGGGAGGCAGAGCCAGGAGTTTCCAAAGCCTCACAGCAGAAGCAGGGCTGCTGCCTTGGCTGAAAGAAAGGAGTTGTGCCCTGAAGATCCCTCACAAGGAACGGAGGCGGTGGACTTGAAAGAGGAGCACCGGGATGTGGAGAGATGGACCCCAGAGGAGGGGGCTGAGGGCCAGGGCAGGGAGAAGGAGAACCTGGCGTTCAACCGCAGCGACCACAGAGCAGCTCCCAGCTGGCAGGGCCACCACAGGCCCTGGAATTGCGGGAGGTGGGAGAGATCCAGGGTCCAAGAGCATGGTTCCTACCCCAGAGCACCAAGAGGGCGAGGGGTGTTCAGGCCCAGTGGACGTCAAGAAGCCAATCTCCTTGAGAAGGAGGGCGGCTCCTAGCAGGAGTGGTGAGGGGCTGGGCTGGGGGAGGGGAGGGCCATTTCTGGGGAGAACAGTGAAGGCTCTGGTGGAGCAGTAGCAAGCAGACACCGTACCACCTGGGAGGGAGGAGGCAACTGGCATGTGGCACAGCTTGGGACAGGGTACGCACGGGGTGAAGCATCCTAGTGTGAGCGACTGGCTGTCACCAGCATTGGAGAAGCTGACTCCTGGCAGATCACATCAGCCTTGGTCTCGGAGGCCCGAGGGGACAGAGGAAGCCTTGACTGGGGACCTGCAGCCATTATCCATGTATGTGAGCTGCCAGGAAACGTGCAGTCCTACAGAGCAAATGGACTGAGCCCGGCATGGTGTCACAGCAGAGCCAGACCTGTGGCAGAACCTTCCCTGGAAGCTAGCATCCTGATGGAACCGTGGTGGTGCCCAGTGATGAGGCTGTGCCAGGGCAGCAGCCTGGAGCTCGGCTCGCTGTGTCCCCAGCCCTTCTCAGAGCACCTTCTCAACTGCTCTCCTTATCTCTCAGAGACAGCATCACTTCTCCCACAGCCCTGACCACTGCTCAGCTGATGGACTTGGCCAGACAAGTCCTTTGTATGACAGGACACTTCCCAGTCCCAGCCAGGAGAGCTAAATTGAGCTTAAATCAACACAATGGCAGGTCAGGGCTGTCTGGTGGCCGAGGCTTTGGGCTGGGTCCTGCTCCGCCAGGGAGCCTGATTTTAGCTGGAGCTCCTGCTCTGTCCTTCAGCTGCTTTTGTGCAGGCAGAAGCTGATGGGGGAGACCTGGGAAGAGCACTCTGAAACCTGTATTTATTGGGATCCCCCTTCTAAGGCCAGGCTGTTTCCTGGAGCTCCCAGCAGCCCGGAGTGAAGACATGCCCCAGTACTTTGGATATTCTTACCTTCCTTTCATCTTCAAGCTGATTTTGCTTCAAAGAAATGAGGACTTGCTGTTTAAACTAACTTGGTGCAGTTCCTTCTGCTGCTGCTTCAGAGGTGTAAAGAGTGTCCCTCTCCAGAGCCATCACAGGTGATCCCAAGCCTCTGGGGTGAGACACTGCTGTTAAATTAATCCATTGGGTCTTCTCCAGAGCCTGTTCCCTTTGTTTTCTCTGCCCCTTCGCTCCTGTTCTTTGCTGTTTCGAGCGAAGGTGTTGATCCCTGGTGTTGCTCACTCTCCTCCCTGCTCCCTATGCCCAGGGACTCCTGCCTTTGCCTGCCTGGGTGTAAGCTGTCTGGCTGACCCAGGCAGTACCGATTCCTGCACACTTGTTCATGCCTTGTGCCCCCCACCTCTCTTTTGGCTTCACATGGGTTGTTAGCGTCTTCCTCTTCCTAAAAAAGGCTGTGCTACGATGGACTTGCCAGAGCTTCGGGTGAGATCCCTAAGGAACCAAGAGCTGCGTGCTGGCTGGGAGGGCATTTGTGCTGCATCTGCCTGACTGATCCCTTGGCACATGAAGGGTGCACAAAAGCTGTCTTGTGAATGCACCCTCCTCACCTGCTGCCCAGCTCTCTCCACGCCTGGCCTTGTCCTGGAGGGATTGGTTTAACCTACTGCCCAAGAACCTTCTGTGCTTAAATTTCCAGTGCTGGCCTATTGTCAACCCTAAAGCTCTAAAAGCTTTTTTTTTTTCCCCTCCTCCTTGGTCTGAGCCTACACTATCTGTCCTGGACTTGGGGATCTGAGCGCCAGAGGTTGTGCCCTGCTGGGGACAAGGGCTGAGCACTCGCTCCCTGAAGAGAGCCCTAATTTTTCTTCAGTGCTTACTCTGTCCTTGTTCTAGCTGGTTTCTGGGTGAAGGGCCTGTCCACACTTCAGTGAAAAGGTGTAAACTTAATCCAACATTGGTGCTTGTTCTGCTGCTTCCTGCCCTCACTTGTGAGATTGCTGTGCTCCACGAAAGGCGTTTGATCACGTCCTGAAAAAAACATGATCTCTGCCCCTCACAGCAGCTGAAGCTTCTTGGCTTCTTCCAGCAAGCCAGGCTTACTCTCGGCAGGAAAACTGCAGTGCCCAGTGTTTGGAGCATGGGGATTCAGCCATGGATATCGGAGTGACTGAGGACTTGGATAACTTCAACCAAATGCCAGAGGTGTTAGAGGGGAGGGATTTTCCTGGCAGTAGGGATTTAGGAAGGGCCCTCACCTTTCTGACTCACTGCTGTCAGCCTGGAGCAGAGGATGTTTTGTAACATGGAAATGAATCTGGGCTAAACAAAACAAACCTCCGGGTTGGAAGGGAGGAATGGAGCCTGCACCCTGCCCTGGGGCTCCTTGCTTGGTGTCCACCCACCTACCTCACAGGGCTGTTGTGAGGCTTAACTGGCAAAAGCACTTGGGCCGGGCAGAAGGGCATGGCGGCATCTGTAGCGTTAACACTATTAAAAGCAAGCTGTCACAGATGTTGTCTGTGCTCTTGTGTGGTGGCATCAGGGTGGGGGTGCATGTCCCCCCTGGCTCTCCCTCACCACTTCCCCAACCTCCCCAACTGCTGTGAGGTGTTCGCCAGCTGCTCAGTGACCAGTTTTGACCCCCAGCTTTGTGAGACAAGGCTGGATCCAAGCAGTCAGCCTCTGCAGGACAGCCAAGCACAGGGTCTGAGATGCCAACAGCAGCACCCTGCTCTGGGAGCTGCCCTGAGTGGCTAGAAATCCCTCCTGTGGCCACAGGACCAACCCTTCACTTGCGGAAACATTTATGTAAGTCTGGGTTGCACCAAAGCAGCACCCATTTGTGCTTCAGTTCAGGCAGGCAGCATTGGCTGGGCTCTCGGCTTTGCCCTTGGCCCCTCAGGGCAGAGCCAAGAGGAGGGCTAAGCAGCGACCTCACAGTTTGGGTTTGGCCTGGAGCCAGCTCCCCCCGCCCCACCATGGTGACGCAGCCCCCAAAGCGAGCATGTGAACTCAGGGCTGGCTCTGGGGAAGCTGATTTTGGGACTGTGAAACAGGGACTGGGGAGGGGAGAGGCTCTGGCTGGCTCATTCTGTAGATCAGCATGCACACCCTGACCCCTAGCTCTGTGGTGTTGGGAAGGAGGTGCAGAACCTGCCCGCTTCTCAATTGCATTTCAGGCACCTGTGGCTCTACCAGCCCATCCAGGGCTTTTGTTCCCAGCAGGAAGGAAGCCTGGTGACAGGGAAAAGGCTGCGAGACTGCCAGCAGCAGGCCAAATCCCTCCTTCAGCCAGGCAGGGCCTCTCCTGCTGGAAGGAGAGGAGCAGTCACCTCCAACAGGCATTTCTGCACCTCATACCGGGCTGGCCTGGCTGCAGAAATTCACCTTGGGGTTAATGTCAAGCTCTACAGAAGATATTCTATAACCAGCCAAAGCCTCTCATCTGCCCCCACATGCAGGCCTGCAGTAGCTCCTCTGGCAGGAGGGACGGTCATGCCTGCCCAGGAATGATGTCCAAGCAGATCTGCGACTTGGCATCGCAGCCCAGCAAGAGCAGGAGCTGTGGCACCAGCCTGCAGCCTGAGGGACAATGAGCTCTCGCTCGGGAGCTGCTTTTCACTGAAACACTCTGGATTTGCAGCGCTGGCCATGCTGGCCCAATGGATAGTGGGGCAACTAACAGGCAATGGGACTGGAGAGGCGAGAGCCTTGTTGTGCACTTCACAGAGGATATTCACAAACCAGTGAAGACTCTTCTCCCTTCAAAGACCAGCAGCTCTTCAGCAGTGCAGCACCCCAATGTCCTGGCCCATGCAAACGCCCGTCTGGGACACCCCCAGGCTGTCCCGCAAGGAAGGGGATTCGCATCCAGGAGCCTTGGCAGCTTACGGCAAACCCAACAGGAGCCACACGCTGGTGAGGGGGGCTGGTGCCATAGCACCCAAGTCTGGGGAGCAGCAAGAGCCAATCCCCTCTCCCTGATGCAAGGCTGGCAGCTCTGACTCTCTGTGTGTTATAATAAAAAGCCAAGGCCTTGGAGGGGTGGAGGTGAACAGAGACCTGGCCTGCATGGCTGGGAAGCTCCACGGCATCCCAGTCCTCACAGCGTAACGAACGAAAGCTGGTCCCCGGTCACAACAGGATGGAGTGGATGTTGGCAATGGCTCCTTCGGGGTCCATCTTGTAGAGCATGAAGTGGCCTTGCACCTGGGCAGCGCTGATCTGCTTGGAGACAGCCAGCGCCTGCTCCGCAAACCGCTCAGCTGCAGCCAGGGGCTGCTCAGGGTAGAAGCGCTGGAACATGCAGGCGAGCTGCCAGCGGGAGCAATGGCCCACATACTGCTTGAGGTCCACACGGCCAGGCCGCACCAGAGCTGGGTCCAGCCTGTCAAGAGACACAGGGGTGCTCTGAAAACCTGATGGAAGTGTCTCTGCAGGGTGGATCCTGCAGGAAGCCCCCGTCCACGCTAACACAGCCAGCGTCCTGTCTGCAAAGTGCTCTGCACTGTGGGATGGTAAAGGTGGGGAAGAGGTTTGTCCCTGAGGGGTCAAGGGGGGAAAATCAACCTAAGAGAAATGAGAGAGCTGGGGAAGGGCTGGCTGCAGAGGAGGACAAGTGTATCCTGGGAAACAGCTCTGCCCATCTCTGTCCCATGAGCAACCTCTGAACAACCCTCTAGGCCAGCTCAGTCTGGAGTGAGCCAAGCCTGCCACAGGGCAACATCTGGCCAGGTGCCAACCAATGTGCTGTGTGTGGGGCCAAATCCGCAAACCCCAAAATCCGCAGATCTCTGCGGGAGGAAGGTGCTTCACTCGCAGCATGGCCACAACCCCAAAATCCGCAGATCTCTGCGGGAGGAAGCTGGTACATCTCCTGAAGGGCACAACCATGGTCTGAACAGTGGGGAAGCATCTGAGGCTCCAGCAAAGATCAAGGGATTTGCATTCCGAGTAAGGATTCGGGAAATCTGAACCCCTGGTCCTCACACTGGAGGATGTGAATAGCCCTCCATAAAGGTCATGGAAAGGAAGCAAGGTTTTCCCATGCCACCCTCCCCGTTCCCTCCCAGAGGGCAGCTCTAACCTGTCCACGTAGTTGGTGGTCATGAAGACAATCCTGGCCTCTGTGGATGCCACACCATCCAATGCATTGAGGAGGCCACTGAAGGTCAGGCGCCCCATGCCTTGGTACACAGCCGGGTCTGGGGACAGAGGTGTCCAAGATCATATCCATCAGCCACACACCCCGCGCAGTCCTGTGGACCACCTCCCTATCTCCTGAGGCTTAAGCCAAGCTCCCTGCCCTCTCCTTCCCCTGAGGCTGACCCCTCTGCCTCTCCTTGGCTGGCAGCACACTCACCTCTCCTGCCCACCCACACCCTGGGAACCCAAAAAGAGAATGAGGGGAAAGCCACCCCCTCCCTCACACTGAAAATAGCTGAGCAGAAGTGTCTTTGCCTGAGGATAAAGGACCCTTTACATGGCCTAGCCAAAACTGGACAAGGTCCAACTTGGACCCCAAGGCCCCAGAGCTGCCCACTCCTTGTCTCTGCTGCTGCAGCAGAGCAGCCCAGAGTCCAAACCTCCCCCCAGCACAGCCTGCAAACCTCCCTCCCACCGCCAGCCTGGGAACGGGGGCACGGCTTACTCTCAGCGGCAAGGTCCCGGCTGACAAAGGCGGCGTCCACGTCCTCCAGCAGGATGATGCTCTGCTGTGGTGCCACGCTCAGGAGGTGATTGAGCCGGTCATCGGAGAGGCTGCGGTCACTGAGGCTCAGCAGGCAGATACTGTACTGCAGCTCCCCAGCCAGGGCTGTGCTGGGAAGGACACAAACCACAGGGGTGAATCACAGTGAGAAAGCCTGGAGCAGAGGAAGCAGTGGATCTCCCTGCCCAGCAGCAGAGGAAAGCACAGAGGCATTCTCCCCAGGTGGGGATCAGATATGGGGGGCAGGTGGGTGCCCCTGCTCAGCCCACTGGTGCTATGCAGCACTGTGCAAAGCAAGGCCACGAAGGGCTCATGACCCTGACCTGTCATGGTGAACACTGACACCAGGCATCGTGCAGGAGGCACAGCCCACTCCTGCATTTCAAACCCAAACTCATCCACAGCCTCTCACCGGAGACTGCTGTGCTCCAGAGCAGGCATCTGGCAGGAAAACTGCTGTTGGCCAGCCGGCAATACTCACATGAAGCTGCTTTTGCCACAGCCAGGAGGACCATACAGCAGGTAGCCTCTTCGGTAGGGGATCCCTAGGAAGACAATATCCTTTTAGGAACCAGCTGGGCTGCTCTGAGCTCCCTACCCCAGAGCCATGGGGCTACACCAGAGGAAGGCAAGCAGCCAGACCAAGTTTCTCTGCAGCTGTCTCCAGGGAGGACCACAAGCATCCTGCCCCATGCCACAACAGTGTCGCAGGAGCAATGAACTCCGTGCCTTATCGCGGTTTCCAGGATTGGATTGAACCAAGGGGAGTTTGTCCCTTTGCAGACCCAGGCCTGACCTTAGCACCTGGGCTCACTCGTTTGCAGGATGTGCCTGAGGTGGTGCCCCACAGCCATGGCTGCACAGGGGTAAGGAGCCACAATGGACACGGTACAGAGGACACCATGCCAGAGCCTTGCCTCTCTCGCTGTACCACTTGGGGTTGTCGATGAACTCCTTCACGTCCTGGACCAGCCTCTCTGACACACCTTCCTCCAGCACCACCGAGCTGAGAGGCCGCTGACGGC